GTGAGTCTGCACGTTTCAAACTGGCGTTTTAAGGCCTCAGGCCATCCCTACTGATAGGAAAGATAGTAGAATGAAACAGGCATTATTGCTGTATGGAACTGTGTGACTACACAACCAATATGATTCTGCAACATGTGCACTCAGAAAAATGAGAAATCATATCCCATCTATGCATGGTATACAAAGGCATAAATGCATTCTACTGTTATGTATAACTAATTAAAACAAATAAAAAATTTAAAAAAACCCTCCACTTGATATATGTCATCAACTTATCTTTAGGAAGTGTTTTCGTCAGCTTTTTCATTGCTGTGATCAGAAGACCTGGCAAGAACAACATAGAGGAGGAAAAGTTTATTTGAGGCTCAAGATTTCAGAGGTCTCAATCCACAGACAGCCGGCTCCATTGCTCTGAGCTCCAGCTGAGGCAGACATCAGGGCAGAAGGGTGTGGAGGAGAGAGGCAGCTCAGGACACCACAAAACAGGAAGCAGAGACAGCTCTGCTTACCAGGAACAAAATATCGACCCCCAAAGCAGCCCCTGGTGATCCACCTCTTCTAGCCACACTTACCTTGTCGACAGTTACCACCCAGTTAATCTCTATCAGTGGATTAATGCACCCATAAGGTTGAGACTCCCATAACCCAATAATTTCACCTGTAAACTTTCTTTCACTGACTCACACATGAATTTTTGGGGAACACTTCATATCTAAACCATAACAGTAAGGATTTCTTTTCCATTATTCAAAATAAAAATCAATTTCCTTTACTAAAATGGCATTAATATGCCCCTTCCCTCTCCCCCCAGGTCCCCACCCATGACGTGAAGCGCCATCTCCTTCTGCCTGAAGTGAGGTTTATATCCAGCTTCCCACTTTCCCAGCTGTCTCACTGTTGCAAACTTTGTTAAAAGTTGTCTCCTAGAAGCAGAGAGGCTTCCGGGATGAGGGTCGGTTTTGCTGTCAGTCCAAGGCTGGAAAACAAGCCGGCTCCGCCCCCTGGTGGTGGGAATCGGAACCAGGGCTTCCGCCTGGCAGCCCTGGGTCCTCACCTGCAGACCTTGGGTCCTTTGACGTTTGTGAAACCTGAAACCGTGGCCAAGTGGGCGAGAACACAGCTCGGCGCTTAAAGGCTCCTAGAGGCTTGATTCCTTTTGGCGCCACCATCGGAGTGAATTTGATGTTGATCTGTTCTCCTAGTCTTACACTATCTGGCATGCGCTCATTTTCCCCAGTAGGAAAGGTTGGAAAAGGTCCAAGAACTTTTAATTGTGGCCCCTCCTTTTTGCCGATTTCCTTCCTAAATACACTGGTGTGGAGCACGGAGCTCAGAGCCCCGGGATGCCTCTCGGAAGACCTGGACAGAGTCCCACTGGCCTCAGGGATGTGTGCTTTCTCATCTGCAGAGGTGAGTTCAGAGTCCACATCCAGGCCGCTGTGTGGTTCCAGGTGGGGAGCTACTTTGGGCAGCAGGTCTTTCCTGCACCTGCATACTTGGGACTGCTTTCCTGGGTCAGACCCAGCTGTGGCAGGAGTGTCCCCGGGGTACAGCCCTGCTCAGTTCTTGCCTGCCTGCTCACCCCATGATCAGGAGGTTAATGGTGGTGACCCTTGGTTTGAATTTCTATCTCATCCTGGATTCCTACTTGCCGTGTGACTCAGACCACAGCTTTAATCTTTCTGTGCCTTTATTTCTGTAAACCATCAGGCCCTTTTTATTTTTATTTTTTTAAGACAGGGGATTGAACCCAGGGGTGCTTGAACACTGAGCCACACCATCAGCTCTTTGTTTTTAATTTTAAGAAAGGGTCTTGCTAAGTTGCTAGGATTGGCTTTGAACTTGCAATCCTCCTGCCTCAGCCTCTTGAATCACTGGAATTACAGCCGTGTGCCACTGTGCCTGTTAGCTGTCCTGTTCTTTAAACACAGGTTACACAGCTTTCTGCCGAGTGGGAGTGGACAGTCTTTTGGGAAAATTGTGGCTCAGAGCAACCTGGCTATTATTAATTCACTTTTCCTTTTGACTTTGTATTATTACTTTTTTCATAAATGATTTTAGAGGAGGCATATGGGCATAGTGGCATTACCCCGGGGGTGAAGCAAGAGTGGACACTTTTTTTTTCTTTTAATTGTGGTGCAAAACACAAGTGTACATCACCGCAGTGTTAGCACATTGCTATAAAACGATATCTAGAACCTTACCTTACAAAACAGAATCTCTCAAAGGAAGTGACCAGTGGTCAAGCAAGACTCCAGGAAGACGTGGTTTCACGGCTCCTGTCCCTGGTTGATTCTAAACGTTGTGCTAAGGGAGCAAAACGGGCAATGTCTGCCACCTGGTGGTGGCAAGGAGACATAACCGCAGCACCCAGGCTCGCAGGCGCGGGGACAGGGGAGGCCTGTCTGGCCCGGGCAGATGGAAGTTGTGTTCGCCTGGCTGTGGGCTGGTTCCCAGCGGCCTCGTGATCTATTTAGACGGGGTCTTTCTGACAAGCCACGTATTCACGTATCTACTTGCTAATCGAGAAAAATGGGCGCATGGCAGCAACTCAGCTGTCTGTTGCTTTGAAAGAAAAGAAGGTCGGTTCAAAAGCATTTTGTGGCACTAAGATGTCCCCAACTCCGCTCTCATCTTCTCTGGGCTGTGCATGTGCAGACACCAACACACGTGGGGGAGTAGTCAAGGCCGAGTGGGAGGGCAGGAGACCCAAGTTCTCATGGGCCTCACCATGAACCTAGTCGCGGGCTGGTGGCCTAGCTGTGAAGAAGGTGGCAGACTGGATCACGCATCACCACCATGTTGGTGTAGTCCCTCTGGTGTGGCCTGTCACACCTGGGCTGCAGACCTGTGCAGCATTTTACGTGCTGATGTTGTGAGCAATAGTACCCAAGGGTGAGCACGTGTGCTTCAAAACGTTTCTAAATACAGAAAAATCACAGCAAAAATTCTAGGTGCCAGGAATTTTCCAGCTCCATCACAACCCAATGGGACCCCTGTGGCCTATGTGGCCCATGTTGAAGGGAATGTCACATGTGGTATGGTCTGTGACTCTATGTTAGTGTTCCCCTGAACCTTTCCTTCAAAAACAATGACAATTTTCACAGTCACAGATTTGTTTATTTTTATTCATTTATTTATTTTGGTTTATCACTTCTACTATGCTGTAGGCTCAGAGGACAGAGATCATCTGGGGGGTGTTGCTTATTCATGTAGTGAGCATGGAATCATGTATTAGGCAAATAAGTGAATCTATGAATAAGGAAGGAAATGGATGAATTTGGGCATTTTGAGTTGCTTGCTCTTGCTCTAGATGTAATAGCATGCTCAGAATTGCCTGGGATGGTCACCAGTATTTATCACAATGTTTACAAACGTGTAGCGTCCCCCCAAAGCTCATGCAAGAAGGTTTGGAGGAGAAATGATCGAGCTATAGCCTTAACCTAACCAGTGAATTAACGTTAATTAATCCCTGATGGGATTAATGGAGTGGTGACTGGAGACAGGTGGGGTGTGGCTGGAGGAAGTGGTTTACTGGGTGTGTGGCTATGGGCTATATATTTGTATCTGGCATCCTGAGTCTCTCTCTCTCTCTCTCTCTCTCTCTCTCTCTCTCTCTCTCTCTCTCTCTCTCTCTCTCTCTCTCCCTCTCTCTCTCCCTCTCCCTCTCCCTCTCCCTCCCTCCTCTCTCTCTCTCTCTCTCTCTCTCAGCTTTCTGATCACCATGTGAGCTGCTTCCCTCTTCCACACACTCCATCATGATGTTCAGCCTCAACTTGAGCCCTGAGTAATGGAGCCTGCTGTCCATGAGCTGAGACCTCTGAAACCGTGAGCCTCCAAATGAACTTTTCCTCCTCTAAAATTGTTCTGGACAGCTCTTTTAGTTACAGCAGTGAAAAAGCTGGCAAAAACAGACAGGAAGGTAAGTCTGGATCAGGGACGATTTCAACAGGTTGGCCTCAGACCAAATATGACAAAATGAGGTCACAGAGGAAGAGCAAGGTTGCGCCCTGAGGTTGGAAAAACAAAATCCATGATATCAGTGTCCATTTTGGGAAGATAAAGATTAATTACACCGCAGTACAAATGCTGAATCTTTAAGAAGTTGGAGATATGAAGTACCCTGATTTGATTGCACATTGTATACATGTATTGAATCATCACACTGTGCCTCAATTACTGTGTGTCAGAAAAGACTGACTACAGTGTAATGGTTCATCTGGATTGTCAACCTGATGCCCAGGAGAGATGCCCAGGACCGAGAGGATCCCCGTGTGCCTGTGAGGATGTTTCCCGAGATGATTGTCATGTGGGACAGGAACTGAGGGGAGATGCGCCATGAGTGTGGCAGCTCTGTGCAGCAGGCAGGGCTGGTGGGACAGAGGCAGGAAGGAGGACGCTGTGCAGACACCAGCTCCTTTCTTCTGCTGCACACCTGAGGAGGACACCGGACTCCAGGTTCTTCGCTCCTCCAACACAGAATCGCCCCAGGCCTTCAGTCTCTGACTGGGGCTGCATCCTTGGTCCCTTTGGCTCTGGGCCTTCAGCCTCTGGGACTGAGCACTACTGATTCCTGCAGCCCTCCAGCCTGGAGACAGCCACGGTGGGACGACCCAGCTTCTGATCCTTAAGCCCATCTCGTGCATCCCTTTTAACAAACACACAAACACACATGCACATCCCCATAGACTCTGTTCTAGAGAGCCTTACTGATACACATAACCTCTGTAGAGAAGTGGTAGTGGTTTTTGTAGATAGAAAATTCTTATTAGCAGTTCATCTCATGTCTCTCACAAAGTGAATTTGGCTTTAGGTGGCATCCCTGGAATTTTGAATCTAGATGGAGACATGAGCACCCTGTTTTCTCTGTCTTTAGGTCGGATCAGGCATGAAATATTGTGCCTGGGACATTTCAGAGCACAGGTGGTGCTGGGCTTGCAGTGGGGTTGTGTCACAATCATGCATTTCATGTGCCCGACCTGCCTACACCACAGCTCAGCAGCACGGTTCATGGTGGAGGATCAGCTCTTCACCCTCGTGATCACGAGTATGGCTGGGGTGTGGTGGCAATGCAGGGCAGGTGGACTCTTCCTCACTGGTACGATTGCTCTTGAGCTGCCTCCTGACAATGCACCCAGGTGTGGCCTCCCACTGTCCCCTCCCTCGTCAAGACACAGGCCGGGACACTGATAATTTTTGTGGGCCTCTAGGACAGTCCCAAACTGGAGCTCCCTGGGCATCTTCTACTGTTTCCCAGATTGCTGCTGCTCCCTCAGGAGGAGAGGGGCTGTGGAGAGAAAGAAGGAGAGGAGAGAATCTTTTTCCTTTTTTATTGGTGCATTATAGTTGTACATAACGGTGGGGTTTGCGGTTACATGTTAGTTCACACACATGATGTGACAGTATAAAAGGAGGGAATCTTTGGGCCATAGGCCCTTGCTTAGGCAGGCCACCATTGATGGATATGAAGGGGAGCCACCACGTTCTCACATTAAGATCTGAAGCATTGAATCACTTGCTTGAAGGATATTGAGAACAGAATAAATTGACTTGGGGCCTAAAAATAATTTCTTGCTTCTTCCAGAATCACTAGGGCTTCAGAACCTGTGGCAGGTTATTGCAGAACCCTGAGGGACTTTGTGTCCGGGAGTGATGGCAGAGGACCACGAGGATGTTCAGACAGTACCAGGTGTGCTTTCCCTTGGGGCTTCTGGGTTGGGACCTGGCTCATGTAGCTGAGGATTTGGGGTGAAATGAACCCAGCGAATAGCTGTTTGGAAAGTTGACCTGGCTGGCTTCCTGAGGAACACCAGGGTTGCTGTAACTAACCCCTAAATCAGAAAACCAGTTCCCTGGCTTCTGGTGTGTGGAGGTTACACCCTCTGCAGAACACTTTGCATGCAGCTGGTGGGGCCGGGAGTACAGACGGAGAGCACAGGCCCTCGGTCCCCGCTGTCAGATGGGATCTGGGCGTCTCCCCCTCCAGGAAGCCGGAGAAGAGTCCTTGGGGTGCCACGCACTTTTTTTTCCTTCTGCCCTTTTCCAGGCTCATTGAAGGCTGTCTAGGGCTCAGAATGGGCTGGCCAGTCCTCCAGTCAGCCTGCCCCATGGGTCAGCGGTAGGGACGTCCCAGCAGGTGCAGCCCAAGGTTAAGACCTTTTACCCTCCTGCGTGCACTGACCCCAGGGCAGTTCAGGGAACGTGGATTTCTTCTGCTTCTTCTCCTCCTTGATTCTTCTTGTCTGGCTCCCCAGTCAGAGAAGAAGCATGACTCTGGCCTTGGGGAGAACCAGGTAGAAACCAGGAAATCCTTGCCCTGAATGCTGGGAAGGGAGTTCCCCAGATGAGCTTCTAATTACAAGGTCCCTTTGGTATGCCTCCTTAAGGTCCCTGCCTTGGGATCCCACTGGAGGGGTTGGGTTTTCCCGCAGTCCTGATCATGCTTTCCTAGCTGACACCTGCTCCAGAACCCGGTGCCAGCAGGTGTCTCAGAGAGCCCAGAGGCTTCATTTTATGGAGCAAGAAACAGGGAGTGGCTGGCCCAGTGAACGAGTCACAGTTCTGCCCATTGACTAGCTGTGTGGCATTGGGAAAATGTCCGATGTCTTACCTGCTCTGAATGTTAGTTTTTACACCTGCACTTCAGAATCAGAGAGGTTTTTGAAATAATAGGTCCCTCGATAGACTAGTTATTAGTTGAGTAACCGGTTTCCATTTTAGAGAATGAAATTGGAAGACTTCCTCCTAGAAACCCTGGGCTGGGCATTGGCAGCCCGGGGCCTGGCAGAGCTGGTTACTGGGCTGGGAACGTGCAGCGTTTGTTCTTGGGAGGGAGTCTGTGCAGCTGCTGCTTCCGGCAGCTGTGGACGCGGCTGCTCATGTGCCCAGCAGCAGATGTGTGCTTCCTACAGGCCGCACCGGGAGATCTCAGAATCTGAGAAAAAAAGCTGCTCACATCCCTCCCCAAGTACCCCCCAGCAGATGCAGAGGGAATGTGGTCTCAACAGGTTGGTTCTGGGCCTTCCTGTTTTAAAGGGTCTGTGCTGGTGGCTGGTGAAGGTCTGAGCAGCAGGGGCCTGTACCTGGGTTTTAAAGGGAAGACACTCCCCTGGATCTAATAGGTTGAGGTCACTGTTGCTCTGAGGTCAGGGAAATACTGCAGAGAGTTCAGCCTCCCTATGGCTGCTGAAGCCAATCAAACTTCCAGTAGGCCAGGGGTAAACGTTGGGCCGCCCTCAGTCCTGTCTACTGGGAAGTCTCCTCAGCCTGGCACAGCGAGCATTGTCATGGAGATGGGGACATGTGCTCCCTGACAAAGGCCAGTCTAGGGAATCTTCTGGGGCATCTGCTGCTGGCTGGAACTCTGAACAGCTGAGTGAGGGGTAGCTGGTCTTGCTGGTAGAGTCTTCCTTTCTTAGGCTCTAACCCAGTCCCAGTGATGGAGGACATAATAATGATCTCAGAGGATATAACATAGCCCCCTTGTGTTGGGCAGAGGTCTGGCTCTGTGAGACTACTGCTCACTGTGGGCCCCGGACCCATCGCTCAGACTGGTGGCCAGGGACAGAACACACCCTGCCTTTGGGGAGGGTGCCACAGAGTCGATGCGCAGCGCAGGAAGGTCCCCTTCTCCTTCCCTGGTTCATCTGCACTTGCTCATCCCACTAACAAGTGTTTCCTGTGTGTGTTTCGGTGCCCTTGAGATGCAGAATGGAGCTGGCTGGGAAGGGCCAGATGGGGAGACAGGCGGTCAAGGGACGCTGAGGGAGGGCCACAGGGAGGGGCTTTGCCGACTGGGATGGAAAGAGGAGCCTGCAGTGTGTTGCATGAAGGTTGAGCCGCTCCTGCCTCTGAAGACTTTGAAAGGTGGAGAAATGGCTTTGAGAGGGTTTCTGGGGCCGCCCACCCTGACCTTTTAAGGCAGCTTGAGAGGTACAGGACTGGAGTTGCTGAATGGTTATCCTTGGCAGCTGATTGCCTTGTGCAGACCCTGGGTAAAGTGAGCAGAGGACTGGGGAGAGGGGAGCTTTTTGCTTTCCTCCCATCCTGGCTCACTGTCTCCCCAGGAAATCCTCTCTCTCTCTCTCTCTCTCTCTCAGGTTCCACACCGAGCATTGTGTTCCACTGCTCACCTCTGCCCTGGCCCAAGCTTCCCGTGTTCTAAGTAAGTCTGCAGAGGACCTCGTGTTCCGTCTGATCATGTGTGATCACGGGTGAGTCTCCCTGTCTGAACTGGAGGGAGCGACCACTTTCTCCTTCTTTGCATACCCTCTGGGGGCAATGTCGGGAGTGTCCAGTGGCTGGAAAGCAAAGCTCGACTTACTGTAAATCCTCTCCTGGGCTGGCTTTCCTGTTTTTAAGAGGATGTGGGTAGAGAAGGTCCCCTACCTCCCCAAGGAAAAGGATCCTCTCCCATTCAGAACTGCGCTGGTGAGTAGTGTGCTCCAATATCCACACCCACCGGGAGCCCAGGAGTGTGGCCTTGTTAGGGAGCGTAGGTAGCGAGTCGGCGAGGCCTGCATGCCAGCCATGGTGTATTCTAAAGAGGGTTGACAGGGACGAGCAGAGGGAAGTTGTGATGTCATACACAGGTCCTGGGCCTCCCTGCTCTTCTCTTTTCTTCTGGAAGAATGACAGGGTCTTGATGAAGGTCTGTGGCTCTGTGCCGGTGACACAGTGCTGCTGGCCCCGTGCTGCCCCGTGGACAGCTGGCTGTTGGGTGTGGTGTGCATGGGTCATTGTTTCTGCATCCGTGGGAGCAGCAGTGTTGGGTGTGTGGGATCTTAGGGTGACACTGGTCCCAAGTCATCAGAGTCCCTGAGTAAAGAGCCACAAAAGCAGCTTGGCAACCAGAGCCTTGGAGCTTGAACCCACAGGGGCTGCTGCTCCAGGATCCTGCTGCATTCTGTGTTCCTCACTGAACCCACAACCCATCTAGGTTCCTCTGCTTTCAGAGAGGGGCTGCAGTCCAAGAGCAAGGACACCGGGTCAGTCAAGGCTGGCCAGGTTCCAGCCCAGCTCTAGCTGACTCTCACTAATGTGTGACCTTGGAGAAGGCTCTTCACTTGGGGAAATCAGAGATCATAGATTAGGTTATGAGGATGAAGTGATTTGATCCATGTAAAGCACTTCAAACGGTGGCTGGCACACAGAAAACTATTGCTTTTATGCTCAGAATATGTCATACCCTCGGGCCTGTTGACTTGTATTAATCAGTTGAATATGAATTTGAAACAGGACTTGGTGATTGAAGGTGAGAAGACAGAAAAAAAAAATAGAAAGTGTATTTCACTATCATGCCTCTGTAATACGGCTTCTGGAGTTTTACCAATCAGCAGAGACTGGCCTCCATCAGCTGCCACAGCTCATTAGTGAACCCTTGGATCCTTACCCACAGATGGGAGTTTAGTCCTTTTAGTCATTTACATATATCCTTTTAAAATTTTTTTTATTTGTTTTAATCAGTAATAGACAGTAGAATGCACTCTGATACGTCGCGTATAGTGGAGTCTAATTTCTCCCTCTTCTGGTGGTACATGATGTCGAATGAGTTACTTTACATATAGCCTTTTACTCTTCCTCTTTGTTTAAGTCTATGGATTGAGGAGGCAAAAATTTTTTTGCTTTTACACAACAAGACAATATATTGTGACAGAATGCAACCCATGTCCACCCTATTTTACAGCCAAAGAAACATTTGCCTTCAACTGCAAGACAAGAACGAAATTCCACACCAGAGTTCCCAAACACACAGTCCCCTGAAGGAAACAAACAAACAAAATAAAACATGGAAACAAATCAGGCTGGGAACTTGAGCATACATCAGATGAGCAGGGCAGGAGCCGAAGACCTCCCACCCCATCCCATCCCCAACCTGCTGCTGACCATTGCAAATTGATGAAGCCCCTGCTGGGTTGATACCATGGTGCTGATTGAGAACTCCCAAGGGAGACTGCCCTCCCACCATCTCACCTGAAGGAAACGGGATCACCAGGAAGAAGAAGACAGTTGGAAGATACAGGTTCATGGCTGCCCAGGGCACAGAGCTGCTCCTCCCCTGGCTGGCTGGTGGGGAGGTGGCTTTATAGAGCCTGGCTGAGATGGGTGGGGCTGGACAGTGGCCTTCTTCTTCCTGGGAGCATACAGCTTCTGCAGGGTTGGAGGAAGAACAACCCTTTGTCATTCAGCATGCTAGGCAACTGCCTCCTTTTCTACAAACCACCCGAGAGGAAAGGGCTCAGCTAGGAGCAAAATGTTTCCCCTGAGCAAAGCTAGACTGGAAACCAGGCTCTTCATGCCTGCCCCAATACAATTCCTCTCACACCTCAAAAATGTAGGGTTAGGGTCTACACTGGTCTTCCTTCCCTCCTTAGTCCCTCTGAGAAATCAGGGAAGTGCTTGTCATAAAACACAGGCTTAACTCAAGATGGGGAAGGGTGTAGGCAAGAACTCCGTGCAGGGGCTCACGGATGCAAAGCATCTCAAGGTGTCCACTGTGCCTGACCCAGGTGCTCAGAAAGTGCAGAAGGGAGGCTTCTTCCTCTTCTGGTGGCCTATTGATCCACCTGGCTCAAGGGCAGACACTGTAGGAAATTCCCCAGCAGACTACCTAGATGGGCTTCATTTTCCAAATAGCCGTATGAAATGTCGGCCAGGACGTGGGGACTTTGAGGGGTCTGGGAGAAGTTCCCACTTTGGAGTGGATGAACTGGTCTCTTGCCAGGAGAGCCAGCGTCCTGCTGAGCACAAGGATGGGTGCCCAGAGCCAGAGTAGAGCTTGACAATGTTTCCCTGGAGCTAGAGACACAGTTCTGGGAAAGGATCATTAGGCTCTACCCCCTAGGGGCATGGATGGGTGACTGATACTGGAGAAGAAGCTAAATTTGATTTTATTCTTCCCCTTGAGGCAGCCTTGTACCTCCCCAGCCCTCACAATAGGACTCTGAATCTGCAGTGTGAATCTGCAGTACAGCTTGGTTTTATTCAGCATAGCAGGCGTCTATCCTCTGGGTCATTGTTCATTGTTTATCTCAGATTCCTTTTCTCATAGAGTGCACTGTTCTTAGAAGGATTTTTTTTTTTTTTTTTTTTTTTAGCATGAAATGAGGTAGAACTCACAATAGGCTTTGTAGGCATACCTTTGGTCCTGGTTATTAAAGTCTGTCCCTGTACTTCTCCCTCCCCCTTGGTTCCTTTCTGATCTCCTTTTGATTTGCATGAGATCTGCCCCCAGATCTTTTCCTTTTTTTCTCTCTACTTTCCACGCAGGAGAGAAAACCTTCTGAGTTTGACTTATTTCACTTAATATGATGGTCTTTTAGTTCCATCCATTTTCCTGCAAATGACATGATTTTCATTTTTGTTTACGGCTGAATAAAACTCCATTGTGTATATATACCATAGACCTTTATTGTATTTATCTATATGTGGTACTGAGAATTGAACCCAGTGCCTCACACATGCTAGGCAAGTGCTCTACCACCGAGCCACAACCCCAGCCCCAACCATATTTTCTTTATCCAGTCATCCATTGATGGACATCTAGGCTGGTTTTATAGTTTCTCTTGGCCTCAGAATCTTAATCTGCAAAATGATGATGTTGGTTTTATTGTGTTCTCTTAGGTATTTCTTAGCTCTAAGAGAGTAAGTGTATAGTCTGTACATGTGTGTATTTATGTATACATGTGCATATTGATGTCTTTATATGTCCTGTGTTTGTATATAGATGGTAGACCTTTCCTTCTCCATTAGACCTTTCATTCCACCCCAACAAGCACATAATCTAGGACCTTCCTTTTATTTTAAATCTGACTCAAAAATACTTACTCTCAAGTTGCTCTCAGGATTACTTGCACTTTCTAATCTGTGGCTTAGTAGACACTGTTGTGGGAAGGTGCATGTTGTGTATATGTGAGTGGGCCAAGTGGAGGAAGTTTATGGACCCTCCTTGTTTGTGCTGAGCCCCTCAGAGCAGGAGAATAAAGGTGGAGACTTCCTTATGAAGGCAGAGATAGTTCTCAAAGATTCCTAGGGTACATTGAGGTGCTTTCTCACTTCCTTGATCCCCATCATCTACTAGTGGCTACTATTCTCTTCTGTCTCTAAGTAACTTTAAAGTTGCCTATTGACAGTCATCAATTAATAATAAGAACATTTCCCTCATTTTTTATATCCTAGGTGGCCTGATAAGCTTCTTATGTTTACCTACATTATCTCATTTAGTACTCGTCACAACCACATGTCACCAACCTTACTCCAGCTATTGTTTTTATTAACACTCATCACACACTAGCATTGGTATTGTTGGACATAGTGGGTTTTCAGTGAATACGATAGTTGCATGCAAGTGAACAAGTGAATAAGACAAGGTTCAGTTCCATGAATGCTGAGTTTTTATTTCTTCCATTCCTTTACTTCCTGGTCCATTTGGCAGAGAAACCCTGGATGAGACTTACTTTCTTTTCTTTTGTTTCCTGAATGAATCCAGGTGCATTCTACTACAGAACTATATTCTAAGGCTTTTTTTTTCCCCTTCAATTCTGAGACAGAGTCTCTATGTTGGCCTTGAACTTGTGATCCTCCTGTCTCAGCCTCCTGAGTCACTAGGATTACAGATCACTCTTCAGATGCACAGGATGGGGCCATACACATTTCCCATCTTAGATCAGAATAAGGACCGTGAAACTGATGAAGATCATGGCAGTGTGCACAGCTCTCTGGCATTCTTCCATGGTCCTATTTATTTCAACAGAGCTCCCCTCTAACTCCATGTGACACAGTCCCATCAAGGCAGAGGCTGTTCAGGAGACTGTCTCTTTGTGTCTCAAGGCCTTATGTGGCCAGAAGTTCTTCACATGGATCACATCAGGCAAGGGATAGTCGTGCTGATCAACATGAGTTAATTCCAGGTGCTCACACACACTGAAGGAGAGCTAGTTTGACTGCCAGTTAGGCTAAATATTCTGGTGACTAACTTTCTGCTACCAACATCCAGTCACTGCCTACTAAACTGCTCTCTACACCCCAGCTACCCACCCACTGGAAAAGCCCAGATCATGTTACCCCTAGGCTCAGGAAAGCTAAATAACTTTTCAGTCGAGTGACAGACCTGGAGTTTGAACACAGTTGTCTGAATCTGAATCTCATGATCCAAAGTCCTAGCTTTCTGCTTCTTTCTATTCAACTGACCATTCAGCTAACCAACATTTCTCGAGAATTTGCTGTGTGGAAAAGATGAAGTTGAATGTTACTACTCTTAAGTGGCTCTAATCTACAGATGTCCCTGGATTTATGATAAAGTGACATACTGACGATATCATCATAAGTTGAAAATATGAGTTGAAAATGCATTTAACATGTCTAATCTTTTAAATAGCACAGATTAGCAACAGAACATAATTGGCATGTGGGTCCTTTACCATTGTGATTGCATGGCTCACTGGGAGGTGCAGCTTGCTGTGTTGGTCAGGATCTCGAGAGAATCTTGTATCATATATGGCTGGCCCTGTGAAAGGTAATCCAGAAATCGAAGTAGGATTTCTACTGAATGCACATTGCTTTCACAGCATCGTGAAGTCAGAAAATTTTAAGTTAAGGCATTGTAAGTCAGAGATCATCTAGAGTAGGGAAGAAAACTATGGTAACACCTGCAGGTCTTCTGGGTTAGGATGTGAAAAACAGGAAAAGGTCTTTCTCTCATTTTAGAAACAAGAAAATCTTAAACAAAATAAAGATTTTAAATGGGCTAGAAAAGAGCAGGGGATCCAAGAGAAGCTGGTGAATTGAATTCCAGAGAGAAAAAAACTCTACATTAAAGGGAAAATCAGATAGAGCCTAACATCTATGTGGGATGGCAGGGAGGGTGGATGAAAGCACCAATCGCTCAGTCCTCCAGTCTTCTCCCAAGGCTCCCAGTTCCTAAGTTTTGTTGGGAAAGTGCCCATAGAAGAGGACTAGTAAATAGAGGAAAAACTTATTATTCCACTTCCCTCAAGGGCAGCGAATCTTAAGTTACTGCTGGAATTGAAGCCCAAACCAAACCAAACCAAACCACCACCACCACCACCACAAAAGGGTAGCAAGCATTCTCCCAGCCTGAATTTCAAAATGTGGAAGCAGAGAAAGTTGAGTTGGGTCGAGTTTACAGATGGCTTTTAAATACCTTTTTAAGTATTTTGAAGAACAAATCAGAAATGGCCATAATGGGTGATATTGATACCATCGGTTATCAATGACGAGTCCTGCGCTCCCACAGGTTGAAGTATAACATTGGAGAAGCACGCCGAGGCAAGCATATGAAGCAGGGTTTATTCAAAAAGGGGTAACAGACTTCTCCTGGGAGGGAGAAGGAGCCATGGCTGGTATCCTGATCCCAAGAAGCGAGGTGTTCTGCCCTTTTTATAAGTCCTAGGCTTCCTTTGTTCTCCTGCCCTCTCCCCCTTATCTCTGTCCTTCCTGCGAACCTGACTAGGCCCAGGGATACTCAGTGGGGTGGCTAAATGGTGGGAAACAGTGGGCTGAAGGGGAAGGGCAGAGTAGCCCAGGACACATTAGTTAACAACCTTATAGCTCCCTGTAGGGAAGGGCAACTCCTGGGACAGGTGACCTTAGCAACAGGTAGGAGCAGGGCAGGTTCTTGATAAGGGTGGAGGAAGGGCTCTGAGGAATTAACATTTCAATCCCTCAGGAGTCTCCAACTTGCCGGACTCACTCAAAATTGGCCTCCTTGATCTGACCTGACTGATTTACCTATCTATTCTGACTGCCTGTCTAATTCTGGCTTCAATATGATGGAGTGTTTCAGAAGAAAATTATATAAAAAAAGAAATTCTAGTCTTGAAAAACCTCTGTATCTAAAACCTAAAGTTTATTGTTGATGTATAACCACAGATTGGGTAATGGAGAACAGAGCAGTGAACTTGAATACAGGTGAATATAAATGATCCAAAATGAAGTGCACAGAAAAAAAATATTAAAAAAATAAATATTAACAATGACTTATGAAATAATATCAAGTAATCTAGACAATTGCAACTGGAGTTGCAGGAAGAGAGAAAAGAGAATACTTGAATAAATAATTAAATAATGGCCAAGACTTTTTCAAATTTGATTTGAAAAATCAGCCAATAGATCTATCCAAGAACTTAAACTGCTCAAACTTATTGCAGGAATACTCTCAGGCATATCAGATAAATTGTTGAAAACCAAATACAAAAAGAAAATCTAAAAATCATCAGGTGGATAGACACATTACAGATAGAGGAACAAAAATAAAAATTAAAACAATTTTATTACAAGAAAAATAATAGGAGATATTCAAAAACATCTTTACAGTGTTAAAGGAAGAAACCCCTCTGTCAGTGTAAGATTCTATGTGCAAGAACACTATGCTTCAAAGAAGCAGGCAAAATAAAGACATTTTAAGATAAATTAAATCATAGAGAATCTGTACAAGTAAACTTAAAGGAAGTTTTCTCACCTAAAAGTAAAGAGATCAAATAAAAACCTGAATCCTAAGACAGAACATGGAACTCTGGAAATGATAAGAATATAGATAAATTGAAAGCATTTTTTTCTTAATTTTATTAAGGTAAGTTATATAAAGCAAAAATAGCAATAGATTGGTGTTTATAACATGTAGAAATAAAAGATGGGACCACCATACCACAAACAATGAAGGCAGACATATGGGGTGCTTTTGTAAAGTTTTTATACTTTACATGAAATGGTATGGCATTAATCCAAGAAGGACTGATAGTGTAATGGCATATATTATAAAGTAATCACACACACACTTATGTACACCCCCCCCCCCCACACACACACACTCAGAACCCAAATCACCAAGGCCAAAATACAAAATAAAACAAAGTTAAACCCTAGAAAGAGGTAAATCTAAAAGGCAATAGAAAAGATAACATCAAATAATAAAAATATTTGATTAATAAAAAAGAACAGAAGAGGAGGAAAAAATACTAAGGAACAGTATATTAGAAAACAAATAGCAAAATGGTAGACTTAAATACAATCCATATATTAAATAACATGGAGTATGTTCACCGGTTGCAATAACATTAAGTTAAAAATCAGTAATGGAAGATATATTAGAATTCTGGAAATATTTGGAAATTAAGAAATATACTTAGGCTAGAAAAAGGAATATTAGAGAAACAAAATATCTCAAACAAAATCATATAACACACTATATTGAAATTTCTTGGAGGCAGTTAAAACTTAGTAGGAAATTTATAATTTTAGGTGCTCAGAGAAAAGGTATACAATTAATGACTTAGGCATATACCTTAGAAAACTGAAAAAAGAATAGCAAATTGCAAAAGAAGGAAATTATGAATGTAAGAAGTCAATGAAATAGAAACAACAGAAAAATCAATCAAGTTAGAAGTTAATTTTTTGAGAAGTTTAGTAAAGTCGATAAACCCAAGTAAGATTGTTCAGTAAGAAAAGAAAGAAAGAACAAAATACCAATATTAGCAATGTAAAAGGGACA